ATTTAAAAAGGAGACAATTATTTAAAAGGAGACACTTATTAAAAAGGAGATACTTATTAAAAAGGAGACACTTCTTTAAAAGGAGACAAATGAAAAGGAGACACTTATTTAAAAGGAGACAAACAAGAAGGAGACACTTCTATAAAAGGAGACAAATAAAAAGGAGACACTTTTAAAAAGGAGACAATTATTTAAAAGGAGACACTTTCAAAAAGGAGACAATTAGTTAAAAGGAGACACTTATTAAAAAGGAGACAGTTATTTAAAAGGAGACACTTTCAAAAAGGAGACAGTTATTTAAAAGGAGACACTTCCAAAAAGGAGACAGTTATTTAAAAGGAGACACTTTCAAAAAGGAGACAGTTATTTAAAAGGAGACACTTTCAAAAAGGAGACAGTTGAAAGCTTCTTGCCTGAGGGCTGGCTGGCCCCTGGGGTGTCCACGAAAGTCCCCGCGGGCGAAAGGAGACACTCAGCAGCAGAAGTGGCCCCGGGGGAGGGCCCGTAAGTCCCCACGGGACAGGGCTGCGGCGGAGACGATCCCTGCAGCAGCAGCAGCAGCAGCAGCAGCAGCTGCAGCAGCTGCAGCAGCGGTGGCAGCAGCGGCGGCTGCAGCAAGTAGCTGCGCGAAAAACGGAGCCAGAACACTGCAGCAGCAGCAGCAGCAGCAGCAGCAGCAGCAGCAGCAGCAGCAGCAGACGGACTCCGGTGCAGTACATGCCGGCGGGGCAGCCGTGGGTCTCCACTGTGGGTGTTATGGGGATCTGCAGCAGCAGCAGCAGCAGCAGCAGCAGCAGCAGCAGCAGCAGACCCCACAAGTTCCCCACAGCGCCTCACATTCGCTGCCCCTGTGGGCAGAGCCGGCCCTAAACCCTAAACCCCAAACCCCAAACCCCAAACCCTAAACCCTAAACCCTAGCAGCCGCCGGCGTTCCCCTCGCAAGTCCGGGAAGCGTTTCTTAGTCGCTGCAAGCGCTCGTAGCGCAAACCCTAAAAAAGGGTTTGCGCGGTGTACGTACACCCGGGAGCTCGCAGGCCAGCCCCGGGGGGCACTGGTTGTTCGTCATTTCTTCAAAAGTTGTTTTTTCTTTTTCGCAAAAGTGACCAGCCAAACAAACTTCGCATGCAGCAGCCCCGGCCCTTGAGAACTCCCCCGCAGCGCATGCAGCGGGGCTGGAAGTCCCCAGGGGACACTTGTGGCCCGCGGGACACGGGCTGCAGGCTGCTGCCTTCGTGCTGCCGTCTGCAGCAGCAGCAGCAGCAGCAGCAGCAGCAGCAGCAGCAGCAGCAGCAGCGGCAGCGGGGGAGGGGCAGCGGGCAGCTGGGGAAGGAGAAGGGGGGTGCCTGGGGCTGGCTGGGGCTTTGAAGTTGCTGGGTGGAGAGCTAGCTAGCTAGCTAGCTAGCTAGCTAGCTATCCATCTAGTTGTGTAGCTATCTAGGTAACCAGCCATATATCTAGCTAGCTAGCTAGCTAACTAACTAAATAAGCAATTAACTAGCCATCTAGCTAGCTAGCTAGCTAGCTAGCTAGCTAGCTAGCTAGCTAGCTAGCTGACTCACCATTGTAGGTGCCCGCGGGGCAGCGTTTGGGCGTGGAAGTTCCTTCGGCGGGACAGAAAGAGCCGGCGGGGCAAAGGAGACAGTCCGCCTCGCTGGTGGAGCCCACTCTGCAAAAGGAGACACTTCGACTCAAGCACACCATTCAGCAGCTAGCTAGCTGCCAGCTAGCTACCCAGCTAGCTACCCAGCTAGCTACCCAGCTAGCTCCTTAGCTAGCTGCCCAGCTAGCTAGCTGCCCAGCTAGCTGCCCAGCTAGCTGCCCAGCTAGCTGCCCAGCTAGCTAGCTGCCCAGCTAGCTGCCCAGCTAGCTCCCCAGCTAGCTATCTCCGCAGGCAAATCCCCAGCTATACCCCCAGCTATATCCCCAGCTAGCTGCCGAGCTAGCCCGCATCCTTAGCTAGCTAGCCAGCTAGCCGCGCACTTGTCGTTATAAGTGCCCGGCGGACAGGCCGTGGGTAGCGCGAGTCCCTTTTCCCCACAAAAGTGCCCCTGGGGACACTTATCTGGCTGAGTCTGAGCCAAAGCCCCGCAGAAGTGGCCAAGGAGACAGTCTCCGCATGCAGCCCGCGAGGAGGCCCTGGGGGCCCCGCTGAAGGTCCCGGGGGGACAGGGCAGCGAGCGGTGGTCGTAAGTCCCTGCGGGGCAGTAGTAGCCCGCTGCGCAGTACTCCACCTGGTTCCCGTCCGTGCAGCCAGTCCCTGCAGCAGCAGCAGCAGCAGCAGCAGCAGCAGCAGCAGCAGCAGCAGCAGCAGCAGCAGCAGCAGCGGGGGCGGGGGGGGAGGTTGGG